CAAGGGGCAGGGGCATGGAGGACAGAGAATATGGCTGCAGCTATGGTGTAGAAATGGACCTAATCTCAGGGATTAGATGAGGCTGCCCCTTACCTAGGATACAAGGGTGACACTCAGGTGTCAGTTGGCATGCAGACAATTGCATGCCCCGTGCCCACCAGGCTTGGGTCCAACTGAGTTAGAATGGAGGGAAGAGCATGATGGAGAGGGAGTGGGAAACCCACAGTCCCAGGAGGGCCCTTGAGCTATAAACACATTGGCTTCTCTTCCCCAGGACCTGTTTGCTTCCCATCAAGCCTGGGACTCCCAGATTCCTCTGCTGTTCAGATTATCTGAGCCTCAAGACCATTAACTAGTCATACTGCAACATCTCCAGCTGGGGCTCTCTAGCCCCTCTTCTACAGAGTCTTTCTGAAAACTTTCTACCCTCACTTGAAAACTATTTCCATGAATGGTGTCACCACCTCCAGGGCATTCCTAACAGGGCCACTGATGTCACCCAAATGCATCCTTTGCTCTCACTGTCACATGCAGTGATTTATTTCTAAAGTCCTTTTGGTCATCCCCCAAATGCCAGTTCAGGGAACCTTACTCCACAGGTCTCAATACCCAGCAGTCACTTCTCATTATTACTGTTAACACTGTGGATGTTGGGAGAGACTCTGAAGGACTGAGAATTTTTGATGTGGCCCTGACATGTGTTGGTTCCTTCACATACCTTGTTGTATGTGACTTTACCCCTTAGTGCTCATACCTATCCTTCTGGGTAGAATGCAAAATGCCCAAGAATGACTTTTAATCTGTAAAAACTTTCCTTGCCTCTATCCTAGAACCACCTTTGACCAATGATTCCCAGACTAGCTGAATGTGGACTGACCTCTCCAGGAAAACCTGTGAAGTTCCTACCTTATTGTACTAATCAGATTGCTACTTCCAGGCCTTCTCAGCCGGCATATCAAAGTAAAGGCTTGTGCTACCCGGTTCAAGCTATTCTCTTCCCATCACATGTCCTGTTGTGCTCACATTCAGTCATCAACTAAGGGTGAGTCTCTGGGTTGTGCCATGATGTGCACCATGGTTCCGTCTTTCTTTTTTTTAATTTTTTGCTGGACTAGGTCTTTGTTGCTGCTTGCAAGCTTTCTCTATTTGCAGCGAGTAGGGGCTACTCTTTGCTGTGGTGCACAGGCTCCTCACCGCAGTGACTTCTCTTGTTGTGGAGCACAGCCTATAAGTGTAAGGGCTTCAGTAGTTGCAGTACCTGGGCTCAACAGCTGTGGTGCATGGGTTTAGTTTCCCCAAGGCATGTGGAATTTTCCTGGACCAGGGATCTAACCCATGTCCCTGCATTGGCAGCTGGATTCTTATCCACTGTACCACCAGAGAAGTCCTGGTTCCCTGATATAACCCCCATCAGTGCATCATCAAATCTTCAGGGATGGAGGAAGTTTTGTTCTCTCCAAGCTTGGGGGTTCCTGTCTCATCAGTCTATAGGAACTGCGTGATCACAGCATGTGGCATTCCTATCATATGCCTATCTCTAGAGTCTCCATGGAGTATCTGTGTCATCGTACTTGCTGTTATGTGTCAGTACTTCCATCCTGTCTCACAGATCACTGGTACGTTTTGCACATCAGTTGAATGTGTCTCATGTCTGTCACACATCTTTCCTCTACCAGTACGGTAATTGTGTCTGGGTCCTGTCTGTTTTGAAGACTGTTAACATCCAGCACCTGTCATACAGTGTCCCAAGGATTCCAAGGTTGTTCTCAGGTATATCACAAACCCATCACGCATGACCCCCAAATATATGTATATGACTCTTGGCTCTACTGCATTATCACTACACATCTGGCACATTTAGTACCTGAAATATTTGTGTTTCTAGACTGTGCTTCAGTGTGCTAGCAAAACACACTGTCATACCACATTTCCAGCTGTGTGACCATCACACCTGTCCTATTCTTGTATCTCCAGTTCAGTTCAGTTCAGTTCCATTGCTCAGTTGTGTCCAACTCTTTGAGACCCCATGGACTGCAGCACACCAGGCCTCCCTGTCCATCACCAACTCCCCGAGTTTATTCAAACTCATGTCCATTGAGTCGATGATGCCATCCAACCATTTCATACTCTGTTGTCCCCTTCTCTTCCCACCTTCAATCTTTCCCAGCATCAGGGTCTTTTCAGATGAGTCAGTTCTTCACATAAGGTGGCCAAACTTGATTGGAGTTTCAGCTTCAACATCAGCTCTTTCAATGAATATTCAGGACTGATTTCCTTTAGGATGGACTGGTTGGATCTCCTTGCAGTCCAAGGGACTCTCAAGAGTCCTCTCCAACACCATGGTTCAAAGCATCAATTCTTTGGCACTCAGCTTTCTTTATAGTCCAACTTTCACATCCATACATGACTGCTGGAAAAACCATAGCCTTGACTAGATGGACCTTTGATGGCAAAGTCATGTCTCTGCCTTTTAATAAGCTAGAAATGCATCTTGAAGAGATTACGATTAAATGACATGATGTGTATGCTTATAAATAACTCAGTAATAAGCATGGGTATAGATGAATCAAGAATGGCCATGAAGTAGCAAATACATGAAAAGATGCTCAACAACACTCATTATCAGAGCAAGGCAAATAAAAACCACAGTGAGGTACCATCTCATGCTGGTCAGAATGACTGCCATCAAAAAGTCTACAAACAATAAATGCTGGAGAGGCTGTGGAGAAAAGGGAACCCTCTTACACTGTTGATGGGAATGCAACCTAGTACAACCACTATGGAGAACAGTGTGGCAATTCCTTAAAAAAACTGAAAATAGAACTGCAATATGACCCAGCAATCCCAGTGTGGGGCATACACACTGAGGAAACCAGAATTGAAAGAGACATGTGTACCCCAATGTTCATTGCAGCACTGTTTACAATAGCTAGGACATGAAAGCAACCTAGATGTCCACTGGTAGATGAATGGAACAGATTTTTGGACTCTGTGGAGAGAAGGTGAGGGTGGGATGATTTGGGAGAACAGCATTGAAACATGTATATTACCATATGTGAAATAGATGACCAGTCCAAGTTTGATGCATGAAACAGGGCACTCAAAGCTGGTGCACTGGGACAACCCTGAGGGGTGGGATGGGAAGGGAGGTGGGAGGGGGGTTCGGGATGGGGGGGACACAGGTACACCTGTGGCTGGTTCATGTCAATATATGGCAAAAACCACCACAGGAGTGTAAAGTAATCAGTCTCCAATTAAAATAAATTAATTTAAAAAAAGAATGGCCATGAAATGATAAATAATGAAAGATTGAGGAACAGTTCATGGAGCTTCACAACAGTTCTCTCCAGTTATATGTTCATGTGTGTATGTGTGTGTGTATATATATATTTATGAAAAATATCTATTACACAAGGAAGATTATATCCTTGCAGTAATAATTTTATGTTAATAAGCTGGATTAAAAAGACTAGGAGGAAATATTTTGGTTTCAGGAGTGTAAGCATATATCAAAAACATCAAATTGTACATCTTGTGCAGTTTATTTTAAGTGGATCATACCTCAATAAAGCTGTTAAAAAACCAAAGGTACTAAATACTCAAAACTTCTCTTTGCTAGTCATTTTACTATTATGTATGTTCTTGGGTTTACTTATGAAAACTCAGTATGGTGGAAAAAATATAATGATGAGCTACTGTGCATCTCTTCTTATTCCATGTTCAGTGACATCATTTTGGCGTCTTGAAACTGGCCACTGTGGGGACCTGCCAGGTGTAAAGGTAAGATGGCTTCTACAACAGAAACATGCAGTGACACATCTGGCAAGAGCCTTGGATAGGCCAGAAAGTACAAGAAAGCTTGCCACAAATTCATAACTTATGGAGAATCTCCTCACTGTGGACATTCGTATATAAAAGGTTCAATATTAGGCAGATGTCTTCATCACAAAGGCTCTCCTCTAGTGTTATATTGAGCAAGTAGATTGCACCGTTCTTGTATGTCTATGGTGAATCTTTGTGTGAATTTCCTGCTGTTCAATGAGGTTAAACTATCACCTGAAGGCTTTCCTATGTTCACTTCACTCATAAGGTCTCTCTGTAGTGTGGACTTTCCTGGTGTTGAATGAGGTTAGATCTTTGGATGAAGACTTTCTTAATTCACTGTACTCATAAGGCCTATATGATTGAATATTTGGTGCTGAATCAGAGAAGACCTTTGACTGAAGACTTTCCCACATTCATGGCACTTGAAACATCCTTCTCCACTGTGGATTTTCTGTTGCTAAATAAGGATAGGCTTTGGCTTAAAGGTTTCTCTTCAGACAAGCTTTCAGTGATAAATCAGAGCAGACCTTGAACTGAAAGCTTCTCTATTTCATGAGGCTTTTTCTAGTGTGCAGTCTCCAGTGCTAAATAAGGTGGGTGCTTCAGCTAAAGAATTCCCCACATTCTTTACACTCATAAGGCCTTCCTCTAATGTTAACTATCCAATCTTTAATGAGGTTGAAGCTTGCCTAGAGGCTCTCCCATACCCATTGCATACAGAAGATCTTTCTCCAGGATGAAATCTCTGGTGTTCAAGAAAGCTAGATAAAGAATTTCCCATATTCACTGCATTAATAAGGTCTTTCTTCAGTGTAAACTCATCGGTGAAAATAGGTCTGTATTTGCAGCTGAAGATTTTACCACATTTGTGGAAAGTTTAAGTACTTTTTCCTTTTTGTGGAGTCTCTGCTATTTGTGGTTGAAGGCTTTCCTGCATCCGTCACACTTCTAATGAATTTTCCTACTATGAATTGTCACCCCACACTTGGTGCTGCTGCATGGCTTCTTCTGTTGTAAGTGCAGGAAGCGTGAACTGACCAAGAAGCACTTTCCAACTTTGTTTCAGGTAAAGGAATTCTTTGGTGTATGGAGTTTGTAGCTCTTCACAAACAAGGTCCTGCCACATCCCTTCTGAAAATTTTTCTCTACTGTGCTGCTTCTGGTGAAGGTTTATACTAAAAGAATGGTTTCCCACATGCCCCATAAGTATACGGTTTTTGCCTGGGATGTGTGCTCCTTTCCTCAGCCAAGTGCAAAATGTCTTTTAAGACAGAGATACATATCTCACAGGAGTGGGCTTTGTAGGGAAAAGGGACCTGCTTTGGGAGTCCTGACCTGTGACATTCCTTCTACAGAAACACTCTGCCCAGAAGGTGCCTCCTCGTCTTCTCCTCCATGCCAATAACCTGGAAACAAAGAAATACAGCTGAAGGACAGCTGACTCTGGTAGGAAGGAGCAACCTCCATCACAAAAGTGCATCCGATACACTAATGAATGAGTGCACGTGAGTCCACAGGATTGTTGTCAGGAGGGAGTTGGAGTCAGGTTGAGGAAGCAGCTGCTGTGCGGCAATGGTCCTCTAAAGGTCACAGCATGGGGGACATAAAGGACACAGTGAAGAGCCAAGTGCAGGAGAAAGGGTGGGGTACAGCACAAAGAGGAGATGCAGGTCTACAACTCACTCTGAATGGTTTCTAGCACTTCTCTGCTGAGAGCCAGGAGAGCTATGCAGAAGGATGTGTCTGGGCCCAAGAGAATCCAATAGCATCAGAGTAGTTCTTGTTCAAAGACTACTTAGAGATCTGTGCACATCTCACAACAAAATATGTGTGGGGCAGTGATGGAGAACACTGTGAGAAAAAGCAGTGGAGAAGAATGGGTGGAATCCATTGTGAGAGTTATGATTCACCCTGACAGAGAGCCAGTGTAGAAATGACAAGTGAAGTGTCAAGAATGGAGGAGGAAAGGTAGAAATAAAGTGTGGCTGCTGGTACTGGCACCAAAATGTAGAGGAAACAGAACATAATCATGGTATGAACTGAACACACAGTCCTGAGATCACGCCCCTTCACTTGCCACTCAATAGTGCCAGGGACCCTCTGAGCCCATTTTGTGGAGCTGGAGTCATTAAAATGCCCACGCTGAGAAGCATCCACAGGTCTCCCCTGACTCCCCATGTAAGTATAGTGCCTGGATGATATAAGCTCTAAGGAAAAGACTGGACAGGTGAGCGGCCAGCACTGACCTAGAGTAACTCAGAGTGACAGACATAGGAAAGAAAATGCAATATTACCAAAATTAACCTCAGAGGAGGATCTTGAAAGAATAGCCTATGGGCCACGTAAGTAGTGACCATATCACTGACTACAATTCCTAGCATAGGAAGAAACGAGGATACATAAGCTAGAGGAAGGGAGTAGAACCTAGGGCAGAGGTGACACCTGGCCTGAGAAAGGGAAAGCAAGGTGGGATCCAAAGGCTAACTGTGAGACTTCTGACTCCCTTCCTGAAGGGCTTTGGGGCAGCAGGTACTGAGACTGAGTGAGAAAAAGACAGGACACTGCAGACAGCTCAGTCCTAGCAACCAGAGCACCTACCCAGGGAACTGGGGAAGGAAGCAGTGCCTGTGGTCCTGATGTGAGAAAGATCTGATCTGTCCATGGGGAAAGGAAAATATACTGGGGCAGGTATGAGGGTCTTACCTAGAGAGGCCATAAGTGCAAAGTTCTCCAGCATCACATTGCAGTATAGGAGTTTCTGGGCCTCATCAAGGAGAGCCCATTCCTCCCAGGAAAAGTACACTGCCACATCCTCAAAGGTTATGCTGCCCTGCCATGATGAAGAGAGAGGAAATTATGAACAGCCTCTCGGTCAAGGATCCCCAATCCATATCCCCACATATGTATTCCATGCTCATACTTCTCCCCAGCTCCACAACTAAGATGAGGTATTGGACTCTGGTGCCATTTGTGTCTGTTCCCTCCTAGTGGTCCCATTAGTTACTGTGTCTAGTCCTCAGCAACATTAGGCAGGTGGGCACAAGGATGCCATTAAGATCCAGGCCTGCCATGCAGGGCTCCACCTGTCCTGCCAGGCAATTCCCAGGAAGTCTCCCAGATGGTACCTCCCAAGCACAACCAAACTTGGGCCCGCCCTTCATCCTTCAGTCCCTAAAACCAGGACTCTGGTGACATCACTTCATACTTCTTCTTCATGTGCATATCATACTTTAGACTGTACCTCTCTTCTATCTCCAGACCCTATAGCCACCACCACCTCCTCTCTATCCCACGCTGCAAACCTCTCCCTGGCTTCCCCATGTGTTACTTACCTCATGATGTCAAGATTATGCAAATGCAAACAGGATTCAGCACTACTCCAGACCCTCATTGGCTCCCACTGCCAGGGGCAGCCTTGAATCCTGCTATCCCATCCTCACTTCTTGGCTTATTGCTTGTGTCACCCTCAGCCATTCAGAACCACGTGCATTCAGATCCCACTGGTCCTCTTCCACTTCCGTGTGGCACTTACTGTCCCCTTGTTAGTCACAACCCTCCTCTCTCAACCTAACACTCATTCAAAGCCCAACCTCATGGCTCTCCTCCTACAGCTTAGTGACTCGATGAAACAACCACATTTTCCCCTGACTGAACCCACCAGCCTGATTGAAACACTCCAGCGTCACCCAAAATCTTAGTAAGTCCATAGACCTGAGCATAGGAATCAGCCTCAGCCTTAGTGTCATGTTTCCTCGGTTATGTCTAGGCTTCTGCATTGTTTCAACGTCTACTCTTCCCTCGGAAGCCTTGACCACCTGCCAGACCATCCTCTTCCCGAGCCCCCTTTCATGGCCAGTTCTCTACCTCAACAATGCTTGGTGATTGCATGTTACCCCTAACCAGGTACTCAAAGAAGACACCCAGTCCTGGGGCACCACCTTCCCTTTCCTGGCCTGCTAATAGCATTACCACCATAACCCCCTCCCAAATGTGACCCACAACTCCAGCTAATCTTGGTTACACAGAGTAACCACCACCATTTTGATGTCTCTACCTTGAATCATTCCCCAGAGTTTCAGATATTTATGTCCAACTGCCAATTTAATGCCTTCAAGCAGTATGTTCTGAAACATCTCAGATTCTTAATATGGCTTGCCTCCCACCAAAAAATAAAACAAAAAACTCCTGATATTCCCATTAAAAATTACTGCCAGCTTTCTTTTCTTCCTTCCAAAACCTCAGGGTAATCCCCAACTCCTACCTTTTTCTCTCTCATCCTCAACATTAGAACATCCAGTCAGTCATACATTAAAGGGGCTTCCCTGGTGGCTCAGAGAGTAAAGAATCTGCCTGAAACACAGGAGACCTGGCTTCAATCTCTGGGTCAGGAAGATGCCCTGGAGAAGGGAATGGCTACTCACTTCACTATTTTTGCCTGAAGAATTCTATGGACAGAGGAGCCTGAGGGGTGGGGTGGGGTGGGGTGGGGATATGGTCCATAGGGTCGAAGAGTCGAACACAAATGAGTGACTAATATATCCTTCTCACTCACTCACTCATATATAAAAAAACAGATCTGGAACCCAACCACTTCTCCTACTTTCATGGCCACCAGACTGTCCAGTTACCACCAATACTCATCTGGACTACTATAGTAACATCCCTGATCTTCCTGCCACCTCCCTCACTCCCCTAAATCTGTTCTTCACTCTGCAATCTAACAGAGCCTTCTAAGACCTGAGTCACATAACCTCCTTATTCCTATACCATTGCTCCTATCCTCTCCAGGAAAACATTCAACTTCCCAGGCTGCCATTTCAAGTCTGGCTGTTTCTTTCCTGATCACCAGAGCAAAGAGAAATGTGGTTCTCTGAACACTCTCAGCTCAACCTTACCTTCAAGCATTTGGACATACTACTATTTGTGCCTGGAATAACCTGCCTCACCTCATTCCCTTGGTTGTCAGACATAGGAACTACTTCACATAAACACTGACCTAGGGCTTGGGGTTTCTCAAGAGTCCCCAGGCCAAAGGGCTAGGAGAGTGACAGTCTGCATCCTAGAGCATCACAGTCTCAGAGAACCTGTGTGTTTTGTGTGAGGAAGCTGGGACTGGTGAGATACCACTCACCTCGCTAAGGTCCTTAAGCCTTTCTGTGGCCATGGAACCTGTGGGAAGAGAGAGGCTGTGAGAAGAAAGTCACCATGGAAGGTCACCATGGGCTCAAACCTCCTTTGTACCCTTGCCTAGTGCTGGGGCCAAGTGACCTTGGGCTTACTGTTAACTTCTCTTTTTTAAAATTTTCTTTATTTTTGGCTGTGCTGGGTCTTCCTGCTGTGTGGGTTTTTCTCTAGTTGCAGAGAGCAGGGGCTACTCTTCATTGTAGAGCAAGGGCTTCTCACTGTGGTGGCTTCTCTTGTTGCAGAACAGGGGCTCCAAAGCACAGTCTCAAAAAGTTGCAGCAAATGGGCTTAGTTGCTCTGAGGCATGTGGTAACTTCCTGGATCAGGGATTGAACCTGTGGTCTCCTGCATTGGCAGGTGGATTCTTTACCACTGAACCACCAGGGAAGCCTTATTGTTAACTTCTGTATCCTAGTCTTCAGTAATACCTCTTACCAGCTGTGTGACTTTGGAGAAGGGCTCAACCTTCAGGTGACTCACTGTCCTCATCACCCCTTTTCTAGTTGGGGGAAAACCTTAAAAACTCTAACTCAGACTGTGTTCCTCCTCTGTTCACAACCCTCCATGCTTCCAAGCACCATAAGAACCTAGGTACACCTCCTCCACCTGCCATTCCAAGCTCCACTCCCCAGTCACACTCTGTTCTATACAGACAGGACATGAAGCCCAGGTTTCCCCAACAGTCCTGGACCAGAAGCTCCTCCAGGTCTTTGCACACGCGATCTCTCTGCTTGTAACACTCCCACATCTCATCACACTGACTTTCGGAAATGGGCCCTCCCTTCTCACACCCTTGCAGGTGCTGTACCCTCTGACCTAGGCTGTGGTAATTCGCCCATGCTTCCCATATGTGGTGCTTTAGGATTCAAATGTGGGAGTGGTTCAAGTGAGGGCCTGAAGATCTCAGAACCAACTCATGCCAGGTCCATCAGTGAGGCCTCTGTGATCTGAGCCTGTGGGTGAACAGGGACGGGAATGACATGTGACCAGTGTGGGAACTCCAACATCACCCCTTCCAACCCAACCCTAACGTGGGTCCTCCCAGGCGGCCCCCACTCCAAGCCTCAGATTCACCTCTGTGCAGTGAGGACAACAGTTTCTCTCGGCCTTTCA